CGGCTGCTCAGCTCAGGCTGGACTCGAACTGCTGTTGCTCAGAGCTCAAACTCTTGAGCGAGCTCTTAACCAACTGAGCCACTCGGCCGGCCCCCCTCATGCATTCTTTAAGCTTCCTATATCTGCTTTCTCCTCTCTTCTTTCCCAGATAAACCTAGTGATGGAGAAGTGGGAAGTGCATGTCTTGTTGATTTAGGGGTTGAATGAAGTGGGGAAGTTTCAGAAGGCAACTGTTTCATATCTTTGGATTCCCCCTTTGGTCTCTGAAAGCCCACTATGAGCGGCCCGTATTTGCAGAGCTCAGGAGCACCAATGGTATTTCAAGGTTAGGATTTCACTTCCATGACTGCACTGCTATGCTTCACGAAGACAGGAGAGGAATACAAGCAGTATCGTTCTTACTTTAAAATGAGGAAATTAAGATTCAGAGAACAAAAGTTATAGAAGAGCAACAGTTGCAAACAGCTGAAAAACAAATGATTGTTCTCATTTCCAGTCTTCAGCTCTATTCACACAAAAACCAAACAAGTCCCAATTGGTTGGCTAGCCCTGTTTCCTGAGAGCAAAACCGAAGGCAGCTCTGTAGCATCTGTCTCAGTCCACAGACTCAGGAAGAGCGGGAGCCACGACAGCCTGCTCACCTTGAGGTGATAGAGCACCACACCTGTGCTGAGCACATCATCCTCCAAGGCCATCAAGTGTGGCAGGCTGGAGTCAATGACCACCCCAGCCCTCCTCCTGTTGATGTCCACTCTGTAATGCTCCACGAGGGCCTTCCACTCGTTCCACTTCCGGGTCCAGTCTTTAGTCAGCTGGTCTATCTGCAGAGACAGGAGGTGGTCTCAGACACTCAGCACAGCAGCAGACTGAAGGTCAAATGGCAGCCCGGCCCAATTCCTCACCGTATTACTTCCTCACTCTCCTCACTGTGACTATTGAAAGCCCCACACAGGCCCTTGCCCCTCCTGTGTGAGCACTCTGTGTTTTTTAAGCTTTCTTCAATAAGCAAGTGTCATTTTCATAAATTGGGATATTTGGTTTCAGGATCTAAATCTAACCTGTCACTCCTTCAATAAATGTTATTTTTAGTTTTCTGCAACAAGCATGTATTGGGTTTTTGGGTTTTTTTTGCTGAGCCATCCTGTGCTCAGCGGCAGCTCAGCTCGGGCTGGGAATCAAACCGGCGACCCTGTTGCTCAGAGCTCACACTCTTGAGCAAGCTCTTAACCAACTGAACCACTCGGCCAGCCCTGCATGTATTGTTTTTATAATTAAGAAAAAGTGCCATAAGTGGTATTTCTGAAAATTGATTGGGATGTTACTCAGGCATCTATAATTACCCTCTCCCCATTCCCCTTTTATGTGATCCATACTGGGAATCCTTCTGTGACCTAACACTTGTTTCTCAAGGTGCAGCAGTTCTAACATAAGTGTGTACCTGGCTCAAAGACCCACAAAGCACCAGAGAAGTCACCCCAAGGAGAATAAAGACTATATGAAACTGGTCTGAAAGACCACGTGAAAACAAAATAACAACAATGACGTAATAACAATAAAATAGTGAGGGCTTACTATGTATCAGGATCAGGGTTTTAAAAATAAACATACCTGGGATGACCAGTTAGCTCAGTTGGTTAGAGCGTGGTGCTGATAACACCAAGGTTGCCGGTTCGACCCCCACTTGGGCCACTGTGAGCTGTGCCCTCCCTAAAAGAGTCAACTATGCCATTGTAGCATGAAAGCAATGTGTAACAAATGACCATGGCTATTCCCCAATAAAATTTAAAAATAAATAATAAACCTAAACAAACAAACAAACAAACAAACAAACCAAGGCTTACAGGCCTTAGGTTAAGACCACCTGGGTAATGTGAACAAACAATACTGAATGGAGTCCTTCTGTCTTCTTCTCATGGAAATTAATGCCTGGGAAGGAAGCTTATGTTGGGAATGGAAGGACTGAGAAACCCAGGAAAAGAAACTGGATTCAGCTAAATATTTCTCTCATTAACGGAAAACTTAAGAAAAATGAAATTATGCCAAGTTTAGGTACAATTATTTTATGTACCCTACAAACATTATTATTATTATTATTTTTTTTTTTAGCTGAGCCATCCTGCCACCTGTTGGCAGCTCAGCGGCAACTCAGCTCGAGATGGACTCGAACCGGTGTTGCTCAGAGCTCAAACCCTTGAGCGAGCTCTTAACCAACTGAGCCACTCGGCCAGCCCTACAAACATTATTTTTAATGTTATAATCACTGAGTTGAAGTTTGAAAACTACAGGGTACCTGTAAATGGCTGAGCTGGATTGGGACCTGGCAGAGGCAGGTGGCAGGTCAGTCTGGCTTATAGTTTGGCCAACCTGGCACAACAACCTAGAGGCATCCCAGACCTCCTCCCCGGACAGCTCTCATCACCCACTCTTACATTGCCTAAGGTCATAAGGCCAGCAAGTGGCAGATTCAAGTCCAGGTCTGCCAGTCTGTATAATGAAAAAATGCTAACAAGCCTGGAATAAAGATTTTGACTCTTCTACTTCATCTGTTATGTATATAGGGATAATATTTTCTGAACCAAAAATAAAAACATATGGTTAAACATAGAATTTTTGAGAAACTTCTGGATGTGTGATATAGTCCTAAAGTTTACTTTGGGTAACAAAATGTTAACATAGCCAGGATACTTTAATAACATACAGGATGATGCGATAGAATATTGGAAATTGGGACATTTGGTTGCAGGATCTAAATCTAACCTGTCACTAACTAATGCCTGCCATTTCTTCCTTTTAAATGTCTCTGGGAATCACCACTTAATTTAATCTCCCCAAATGTCTGTCCTCGCTCCTGCCGGGTCATGACAACAGTCTCTTTCCTGGTTGGTCTCTCTGCTTCTGGGCTTCCCTCCCTTCAATCCATCCTACATACAACTGTCATATTAATTTCCCCACTACGCTCCTTTATTATATCACCATCCCGGTTCAGAAAGCTATGGTTAATCCTGTTTATGTCAAGTTCAACCTCCACTACTCTCATGAGCACCCACTCCAGCCAGCTTTGTCTTCCTCACACTGTGTGCTTCCACACGGCCTCCCACATCAGTTCATGCTCTCAGTTCCATGGCTTTGCTTATGTTATCCCTACCTCACCCAAAATTCCTTACTCCTTCTACCTATCAAACTTCTATCTATCAATTCTTTTTTTTTTAAGATTTTATTGGGGAATTGGGGGAGGGGAACAGCGTTGGGGAATC